GTTGATTATGAATGTATGGAATCACCATGAAACAATACGTGCATGCCCTATTTTAGATCTGTTGGAATTCAATTCAGAATAGCTTAACGCGAACTCAGTAGAGTTGTCAAAATCTACATATCGTGATGAGTTTAGCGATACGAATGACGCGAAGATGTGTGAATCTGATCTTACTGTAGTAAATGTCATTTAAAGGAACGTTATATGTGTTGGGTCACTGTTTTGTTTCTATATCCATATCAAAAACATATATATCAGTCCTTAATTGATAGTGTCATTCGACAGCATTGCTGGGTATAACAGAGATGTTCACTTCCATACTACACCAGTACTTGATACTGTAGTTATATTGGGAACCTGTGCAAGATGATGTTCCTATACCACCCATCTGCGCTGTTCACGTATGTGGAAACTGAACTGACATTTTCAGTTTTGTTCATCATTGAACTCTTCGAACATCCACATAACCTGGAATGATTCTCATGATTACACCTTTTTGTAAATACACAATGCCATTTGGAAAGTGGTCAAATGTAACGTATGTTATATTTGGGATTGCACTTTCTTAGCAAAGTACAGATTCTAGTACTTTTGTTGGGATGGGACTCATTAATTTATTTCATGAAACTGAACAGGGTAATCCACTTTTATTGTCAAAGACAATCTTGGCAGTTAAGGCATCACGCCACTTCAACAAGATCAGTTTCATGATGTCTAAATTATCCATGTTCTGAATGTAGTCTAAATTGTACCATTGACACATTTGGTCTGACAGATGGACCTCATTTCATCTTGTAATTTCACCGTTTGTCCAACTTTTAATCCTAAATGCTTGTGTAATGAAGAATCAAATACCGACTCGTGTATTAACTCGAGGTATCACTTGTTTCTCTTAGAGATAAACAGCAGTAAAACGAGTGTAATATCACTCCATCGATTCCGTCATCTCGACGTAACTACATCCCACAGAAAAAGATCACAAACCAGTGGTTTCTAATTTACAGAGATAATTTCATTTTTACGGCATTGTTCCGGGCTACAGCTGATCTCCAGCAACCCACCCTTGTTGCAAGAGGCGGCAGAGGGGACCATATGGCTTAACTCGCTGACTTGGTTGATACATGGCCGTAAATCCGAGTTGCCGACATCAATGCGCATAATTTAATTCGCTGGATGGCCTGGTTCAGACTTGATTATGTACAGACATACATCATGTAGCTGATATATTGCTGTATGCGACTTTAAAGGCACAATTTCTCATATTTACTAAATATTTTGACCTATATCATATATATATTATATATGTGCACTCACTTTAGCTCCCCATTGATGCAATAAAAGACTTACTAACCCTTACGACTTGCCTGAAATCGATATTTGAAACTTCGAGGCGAACAGCTTCGAAACGGAGAACACTTGCCATATATGGAATGTAAACAATTGCTCCGTACAACGAAAACTGTCGCACGCGGTGCAGTCGGTTTTGACCGATCTGGTTTTAATCACAAGTTGTGCGTAGGATATTCGAAAAGGGCGCTCGAAGGGACATAACTCTATGGGGTTCGCTTGAAATAATGGTGTTCACAATGGGGGTTTAAGATTTAAAAATCAAAATCAGTGGCAAAGATGATCACAAGAGGTGAGATCCCTCATGATATCAATCTAACTCTTGGACACAATAAACTGGAAATGGTGTCAGTGTTCAAATTTCTTGGTGTGTATTTTGATCAAAGATTAACATGGTCTCATCACATCACACATTTGTATAACACATGTAACAAGATCATCAATCTATTAAAGTGTATTTCAAAAACAAAGTGGGGTGCTGATAAGTCAACTATGTTATTGCTGTACAAGGCCCTTATCTTGTCCAGACTTGACTATGGTTGTCAGGTGTATATGTTGGCGGCTAAATGTCATCTTAATAAGCTTGATAGAATTCAGTCTAAAGCTTTGAGAATATGCACTGGGGCCTATTGTACAACTCCAACCTCAGCGCTTCAAGTTGAGTGTTCAGAAATGCCCCTTCACCTTCGAAGACAACAGGTATCTTTGAAATATTTCTTAAAAATGAAAACCAGGAACAGACAACATGCAGTCACTGAGATTGTTAATGACTGTGTGGAATATGTCATGTGTGACTGGACCCATGGCAAATTACCCTTTGGCTTGAATATACAGAGATAAGCTGATCAACATGGTATTTACAACTGTAACCCAGTTGATCCTTCTGCACCGCCTCTCACACCTCCGTGGCTTCTGCTGAAGCCTGGATTGAATTCTGAACTCAATTTAATCGTGAATAAGAGAATGGACCAAAACATAATAAAAGTGATAACTCAAGACTTTCTGGCTGAACATTATTCTAATTTCACACATATATACACTGATGATCGTACTGCTCGGGCTTTTTGGATACCAAATTTATCGATCGCTAAGGTGTTCAGATTCCCTGATTATCTTTCTGTTTTTGCAGCTGAACTTTTGTCCATTTTGCAAGCATTGAGATGGGTAGATGAACATGACCATGAAGCAATTATCTTTACAGATTCCATGGCAGCAATCAAAGATATAGAAGCTGGTGCAAATGGATCTAGAGATGACATTGGTCATGAGATATTAAAGTTGGATACATCTTTAAACATGAAGTACATTGCATGCGACATTGTGTGGGTCCCAGCACATGTTGGAATACATGGGAATCAGATTGCAGATAATTTGGCCAAATCCGGGTTACAGTTTCCTGAAGTTGATTTATTTAAATTTCAACCAATCCCTAAAGATTTTGAAAATGTTTTATCGAAATCTGTTCCAAGGAGTTGGCAACAGTTGCGGGATACAGGTACTTCCGGTCGACATATGTACAAACTTCCATCCTTAGACCATCATTAAAATCTGGTCATAACATTCGTCGTTGTAAAAGGCGTGATGAGGTTATTCCTTCACGTCTCAGGCTTGGACACTGTGGACTAAATGCTTACAGGAGTATTATAGATAAGACGGTCTCTTCTAAATGTGGCCATTGCAATTTGGAGACGCCTGAAAACATCGAACATTATCTAATTACATGCCCTGGGCACAACAACATAAAACATAATCTCAGAAGTGTTGTACTTGAGGTTGATAATATCATGTATGGGTCTGTGCAACGGGCAGTTTTAGATTTCTTCTCGTCATCTGGAAACATGATGTAATCTAGACAGGCTCTCGAATGGCTTAGACAGATTTAGTTCTGTGGTTTTAAATCATTTTAACACTCTGTCATCTGAACCTACTGCTTGTTTAATGAATGAGTATTTCATGTTTCAGAAATGGAAGTGATTACTTAAGGTTTTTAATCCGTAACACAAAGCAGGGGTTATTCGACATACGTATACATCTATCCAAATTAATATTAATAGTGTTGTGGTCTCTTTTATCTTAACTAAACGATTCCTTTTGGCCATGAAATTACCTATGATTGTTTATTAAATCAAGTCAATGTGTTGGGCGCAAATATGCCTCTTATTGGCCCACGTCGCCCTAGAACTATAAAACCAATCAAAACTTGAAATAATGTTCGACAGGTAGAGGACGCGAGAGTCGATTTAATGCAACGTTGCATTAATTCATTTAATTGAATTTAATATTGTAATCTATATCCGTAAATGTTTTGGAATAAATTATATCGTAGCTTCCCTGAAGGCTGATAGTATTATTGAGAGAAATGCAGTATCTATTTTTAGACAAGTATTGTGTGAAATAGTGCCTTTAAACAACCAACGAACAAGAGGTTGTTCAATAACCAAACATGACAATATCGGTGATGTCCTTGTTTGTCCTGACAGCACGGTAGTGTTTCCCACTGATCATTAGAAAGCTGAAACAGCTGTGAATCATACATCATATACAAAGGCACCAATATCGAGTTGCACTGTTTACAAATATATAAGTTTCGTCATAATTAGTCTCTTGGAACAGTCTACCACATGTTGCTGTGCTCTGTTATTAAATGCCACTGTTGACGTAATGTTATAGCTGTTCTATAGCTGTTTTGTTATTGAATGACAAAGTGTGTTACTGTGATCTTTTGTCCTTCGTGCAATTTTATCTCAATATTTAGTGATTAAAACTAGTTCATTTTTCGTATCACTTTTAGTTCTCATTAAAGGCACAATTATTTTGGACTATATTGTATATATTGGGGCACATGCACTCACTTTAGCTTCCTATTGACTTACCTGAAATAGATCATTGAAAGTTCGAGGCAAACAGCTTCGAAACAGAACATTTGCTATATGAAATGTAAACAATTGCTCTATTCGTCGAAAACTGTCGCACGAGTTGTTGGCAGTGTTTGCCGAACTTGTTTCTATCACAAATTGCGCTGTATGTTTTTGCGCCAGACATTAGCGTCATTTTGTCTAGGACTGCGTTCTGTCTCCAAAGGAGTTATAGGATATTCATAAAGAGCGCTCCATGGGGTTCGCTTGAAATAATGTTCTCTGCCGGTAGAGGGCAACGTTGCATTAATTCATTCGAACTTTTTAATTTAATATTGTAATCTAAATATGTAATTGTTTTGGGAGGTAATTGTAATTATAGCTTCTGTGAGGGCTGATAGTTACTATTATTGAGAGAAATGCTATACCGGTATATATTTTCAGAGAGAGATCTTGTGGTGTGAAATAAAAAGATTAATGGAGAATTGTTTCTGACTATGTGCGAAGCCTGTATACGTCACATGCCATAAATTTACGGGTGTAAAGAAAATTTGTCGTATAATTTCGCGATATGATATTTCGATATCTCTTTTGAAGCCTCAACAACCAATTTCATGATCTTTTCGTTTTTGTGGAATGCGGATTTCTGTGAGAACTTTTTCGTGTGGAATGTTTTCTTTTGATGCCACTGCTTTTGGCTCATCGATGTGTTTTCCCATACAGTTACTCATGACGGGAGGCACATTATTTTAGATCGGTTGTTTTGTATTAATTAAGAATGTTTATCTTTGCCTTCAGTGACAGGTGGCCATGGCAACCAGACAGCACTGATGGACAAGGTGTTTGACCTATACCACAAAGAGGTGCGCCCAATCTGCGGAACAGATGCGCCTATAGAAGTCAAAATCGGCATCGCCATCAGACAAGTCATTGAACTTGTGAGTGTATATGTTATTTATTCTTTCAAAAAGTAGTATTAGTATAACTTTATATAGTTCATGAGTATTGGGTTACATAAACTGATATCTAAATGCAAGGGAACCACACTGGAACATACAGGAGAATGTTCGTCATGTTTCATGTACAATACAATCTAGTATGCTAAAACTGATGAAAATTCTCCACGTGCAAATGAGGTGACATTTTAATCGAAAAAGGACCTATCTTGTAAATAATGGCGATGACACATATCGACATGCGCTTATGATTGCATTTGCATACGATAAAATGCCCAAGTAGGCGTGTAGGTTTAATCAATCAAAAAGATATTTAACTGTTCGAAATACTCTTTAGAGCATTTGCACATGTGTTTACATATCTATTATTCCTGAAGTATGTGTACCAGCTGACGGGATTTGCTGTTCACTCAGTGAGATTTATGCAATTCGAACGTTTAAACAGCATGTGCATTGTTTCTAGCATTAGATAATATTTCAGCGAAAATCTGTTTCCAATATACCAACCCAGTGTATTACAGAAATTGCATGTTGAGAATATATACAATGTGCGATATATATATATATAATTATTTAATTATATATTGAACTTTTTTGTGCTCAAGAGATTTGAGAATCCGTCAATCAATAGCTTTATTGTTTGGATGCTATAACCCTAACTTTTTATATTAAAAAAATGTTGCTTGTTAAATTAAATCAATTGCACCTTTACATAGAATATATTTGCATAATATATTTTGTTAAAATGGAGAAAAAGATAACGTTGCCAACAGAGTTCTGATAGCATGATCCGACATAAATGAAACAAAACTCTAGGCAAAGCCAAATACTGGTTGACATAAACTGAAGTATAAAAGAAAGTACACACCTCGAGCTTGGGGATAATTTTTAAAGTATACGACTTGATATCCCACGCACAACACTGTAAAGGAAATCTATGGTGTTTTGGCAACATGTACAAAATGTTTGTTATTTGTAAGTCACAATTAAAATAATTTTCAAAATATTTACGCTGCTTTTTGGAAAATCCCAAAGTGCCAGAACTGAACTTTCTTTTGTGCGTCAGTTTAATTACACGCTTCTCAATCATATCAAAATGTGTTGTACTTCAACTGAATCCTTTGAGACGAATACCTGTCCCTATTATATTGACCTCTCCCTGCTATTGTTCTTCTTTCCAGGATGAACCTAAACAAATATTGACACTCAACGCATGGCTTCGATTGGTAAGTGCCGCTGCAGCCTTTATTTAATCATGCACGTTTATTGGATGGTTTTCTAATAGAAACCCAATACCCTCGCAGAAGCGTGTCTGTGTTGTTTCCGTGACCATTGTTCTAACTGCCCGGGATGACATCGCTCTCTCAAGTCTCTGGTCATTTGTTTGGTGTGAAATGACGAACGATTGCTGGGTTACTCTGTATGAGAATTAAAATAATATCCCCAAGGTGCCAGAGGTGCGGACGAAAGGATAGTTATTGACAGCGGATTGGTTGTGTCTATGTTATAGTATTGAGAACGCATTAACTACCCTACCCCATTGAAATGATGAGTGTGTGTTGAAAGGGTTGGTAACAGTGGTATTTGAATAAAACATCAGTCATGAATATTGGCATCCCAGTGTGGGCTGAGGTCTTTGTATATTCCCCGACAAGCCTGAGCCATATCGTATTGACAAAACCGTCAAGACTTGGTCTGTATTTAAACTTACACCACGTGTTGAAATTAGAGATGTATTGACAAAGAAATACACGAGAATATTTATCACATGCCACAGGCCAAAATTGGGAATTGCATTGGACTTCAATTTGATCATTGAAGCGTCGAGTGTAATTACAACGGTTACCTGGGTTTTTTATCAGCATCTTTAATGACCGTGCGTAATGGCCACCTGCTGTTATTTTTCCCTTATATATTATTTTGCCCTGCATTAAAATATATGTTCCAACAGCTGGTTATCAACATGGACATCGTAAAGACTGAACTAGTGTGAATGCCTAATGAATTTCGAAAGTTTAACTTACAAGCAGCAATGAGTTGAGGTATAACATCACACATGACCCAATCATCATGATTAATTGATAAATCTTCAGTGCCCATGTTACATCAAGGAGTACACGCGCACCTGATCACAGAACATACCCACCACTGTGGTGAACCAGGATAACTGGTTGCCATGGAGATGAGTTCCTGTGTTAACATATGTAAATACGTGATGAAAGTTCACTGATGAATTATTATCAGCTATCTATAGTCAACGAGTGACTAATGTAATTTAAGTGATTAAACACAATTGTCACTAGCAAATATCACTGATACATACCATTGAACAACTTGCAAACTATGCGACATTGTACCAGTTAATAAACAAGATTGCTTAACGGAAGGAAGTCAACCAGTTCACAAGACAAACAACAAGACGCACCGACACCTGATCAACAATAAGCACGTGGGACGTCATATAACACATTACCCTCTCTAATGACTCAATAGCCAGGGTTGTCTGGATGTAAGTACTAAACAATTAACCGGTCCTCCTTGACAATAAAAATAGAGACGGGTACCGTGATTCACACCTCCCGAGTCTCCGGACAGAGTGTTCACGTAAACCACATCTACAGAGTAGCATGTCAATGTCAACGTAGGAAACAGGTGTCACGATATACATATATACCGAGTCTCCGGACAGAGTGTTCACGTAAACCATATCTACAGAGTATCAAGTCAATGTCAACGTAGGAAATAGGTGTCACGATATACATATATACCGAGTCCCCGGACAGAGTGTTCACGTAAACCATATTTACAGAGTATCAAGTCATTGACAACGTAGGAAATAGGTGTCACGATATACATATATACCGAGTCCCCGGACAGAGTGTTCACGTAAACCATATCTTATCAAGTCATTGACAGGACAAAGGTGTCAGAGTATCATGTCAATGTCAACGTAGGAAATAGGTGTCACGATATACATATATACCGAGTCCCCGGACAGAGTGTTCACGTAAACCATATCTACAGTCAATGTATCAGGTGTCATATATGTCAATACCGAGTCCCCGGAGGAAATTCAGGTGTCACGATATACATATACGATATACCGAGTCCCCGGACAGAGTGTTCACGTAAACCATATCTACAGAGTATCAAGTCATTGACAACGTAGGAAACAGGTGTCACGATATACATATATACCGAGTCCCCGACAGAGTGTTCACGTAAACCATATTTACAGAGTATCAAGTCATTGACAACGTAGGAAACAGGTGTCACGATATACATATATACCGAGTCCCCGGACAGAGTGTTCACGTAAACCATATCTACAGAGTATCAAGTCAATGACAACGTAGGAAACAGGTGTCACGATATACATATATACCGAGTCCCCGGACAGAGTGTTCACGTAAACCATATTTACAGAGTATCAAGTCATTGCCAATGTAGGAAACAGGTGTCACGATATACATATATACCGAGTCCCCGGACAGAGTGTTCACGTAAACCACATCTATGGTGTATCATGTCAATGTCAACGTAGGAAATAGGTGTCACGAGATACATATATATACCCGACAGAGTGTCACTCGGACAGAGTGTTCACGTAAACCATATCTACAGAGTATCATGTCAATGTCAACGTAGGAAATAGGTGTCACGATATACATATATACCGAGTCCCCGGACAGAGTGTTCACGTAAACCATATCTACAGAGTATCATGTCAATGTCAACGTAGGAAACAGGTGTCACGATATACATATATACCGAGTCCCCGGACAGAGTGTTCACGTAAACCATATTTACAGAGTATCAAGTCATTGACAACGTAGGAAATAGGTGTCACGATATACATATATACCGAGTCCCCTTATTTACAGGACAGAGTGTTCACGTAAACCATATTTACAGAGTATCAAGTCATTGACAACGTAGGAAATAGGTGTCACGATATACATATATACCGAGTCCCCTTACACAGTGTTCACGTAAACCATATCTGCGGTGTATCAAGTCAATGACAACGTAGGAAACAGGTGTCACGATATACATATATACCGAGTCTCCGCACAGAGTGTTCACGTAAACCACATCTACGGTGTATCATGTCAATGTCAAGGTAGGAAACAGGTGTCACGATATACATATATACCGAGTCTCTTGATAGAGTGTTCACGTAAACCATATCTACAGAGTATCAAGTCAATGTCAACGTAGGAAACAGGTGTCACGATATACATATATACCGAGTCCCCGGACAGAGTGTTCACGTAAACCACATCTACGGTGTATCATGTCAATGTCAAGGTAGGAAACAGGTGTCACGATACACATGATATATACCGAGTCTCCAGACAGAGCGTTGATGTTGGAAACAGCTCACCTGCCCAATCATGTTGGAGACAAATAGCACCTGCCACACATTAACAATGTTTCGTGACACGTTAGTGACAGTATGCTATTTATCTTTTCCAAAAATGATACCCGCCGAATGTTCAGTAGTGAGAATAAGTATTCAAGATTTCTTCATCACCTTTTTGAGGGACAATAATGACAATTTATGGGTAACAACCTGTTTTAATTCGTATGTGCGACGTTTCGACACAGACCGTTGTCAAGCAGGACAAGAATCTGTATGAAACTTCGCTCTTGAGGCATAAAACAAGTCGTTATCCTTAGAAATGTCACTATTGCACTTCCCAACTTCAAAATGTCACTCAAAGAATTTTATTTATTATATTACCAACTCAGTAGTATAATGTCTGTAATTATAATTAACGTCATGTATTTGTTGTGTCTGTAGAACTGGTACGACTGTCAGTTGAAGTGGAACGCTACTGAGTTTGGAGGGATCTCATCACTTAGTCTCCCTTTTAGCACAGTTTGGACACCGGATATTACCCTATATGACAAGTAAGGAAACTTCACGTTAGTGTGTTGGCAGCCCACCACGCAGAGATGGTTTCATTCAACAAACGTCATACGATTTCCATTGTTTTTAACGATTAATGGTTTAAACTAACAAAACAGGCGTTCCTCTGTCAATCCAAAGTGACGAAAATGCACTGTACCAAAATTCAATAACTTGACAACGTCTATGGTTTTCTTGTCGAAGCAACCTTCACACGGCTGCAGTAGTGTCAATATTGTTTCCTCGTCAGTGTGTATGTTTCTGCTTTCTTTGTCCACCTTGTGTTGTTTGTATCCGTATCATACACCCCTCACTCATCCATATATTCTGTATACATTTGCCACATGTAGACGATAGCCTTGCAGATCTGGATTAAAACTGGTCTTCATTAATCCATGCTTGTCAGAAGAGGCGACTAACGGAATCGGGTTGTCAGACTCGATGACACGATTGATGCAGTGGTGTAGATCGTTGTTATTGATCAGTCACTGGATTGCGTGGTCCAGACTATACATACGGCTGTTATATTGTTCACATATGTCTGGGCGCAACGTTAAGCAACGTCCACTCAACGTAAAACAAGTGTATACCCATGCTTAGGTGTAAGTGTGTTGTGTCCTCTCTGTCACATGTTCCCCGAAATGGACACTTATTCACTTCTTCACCCGTACACCTGGTCACCATCAGTTCACATCACCTGACCTTCATCCCTTCTGTCTCTCTGCATGACCTGTACTGTTCTAATTACTTCTCCTGGACGCTATCACCCAGTGCTGCTGAAGAACTTGTCGGACTCAAGGACTACCGCCCTGTCATCAACTCAGACGGTTCTGCCTCCTACAACTTCCCAACAATTATAACAAGCCTCTGCAAAGTTGACGTCACCTACTTCCCCTTCGACACTCAAACATGTGCGCTCAAGTTCGGTTCCTGGGCCTACCATGGACTCCAGATCAACTCCACCAACAGGGACAGCACTGGCGACATATCCAGCTTCAAAGTCAACACCGAGTGGGACCTGGTCGGTGTTCCAGTGAAACGACATGTAGTGTACTACAAGTGCTGCCCCGAGCCTTACCCTGACGTGACGTTCTACGTCAATCTACGCCGCAAGCCGCTGTTCTACATGTTGAACCTACTGTTTCCGTGTATTTTGATCACTACCGTGGCACTGCTGGGCTTCATGTTACCGCCTGACTCCGGGGAAAAGGTGTCACTGGAGATTACCGTGTTGCTGTCCCTGGCAGTGTTCCTGCTGGTGGTGTCTGAGACGTTACCGCCAACTTCTGAAGACTTCCCTTTGATAGGTACGTACTTAACAGTATTAACAACGCGTTCCTGTTCTGTGCCTCCAGATTTATTTGACATTCACACAAGGTCCGATAGGATTCAGGAGTGAAATAAGTACATGCTGATAGTAAGAGCAGACCATATGATATTGTGGTTCACATTTCCGCAGACCGTTACCGGTAATCTGGTGAATACATCATCTACCACGAGACGGTTTGGTTTCGTTAGATGGTTTGGGTTATATGATATTGTGGCTCACATCTCCGCCGACAGCCACCGTAACCTTGTGAACAAAACTCTACCCGAAGATTGGAAGGTAGGTGGTTATTGCTAATACGATATTGTAGCTCATATTGTCGCCAACAACCAGCGTACTCTGGTAGACAAAGCATCTACAGATCGGAAGGTAGGTGGTTATTGGTTATACGACATTGTGGCTAATATATTCGCCGACCGCCACCGTAATCTTATGAACAAAGCATCTACAGATCGGAAGGTGGGTGGTTATTAGTTGTACGATATTGTGGCTCATATTGTCGCCGACAGCTACCGTAATCTTGTGAATATGGCGGCTATCCGGAGATCGGAATGTAGGCGATTATTGGTTAAACGATTAGGTGATTATTGGTCCCACGCCGTAATATTGCTTGAATAATGTTATAAGCGGCTTAAAATCCAACTCATTCACTAACTAACTTCCAAGGATGAGACGAATAATGTGTTAAGCTGAAACATAGGAGACAAAAGTAGCGAGATGAGTATTCTCAATACATCTTTTGTTTTATGCTGAAGACAGCAGCATGGACTGCCATTATTAACCTTCTGGTGTTACGCATAGCTTTGTACAGACGAGTTCATAAACTTTCAACGAGCATATATGATTTTTGTTTTACATGTTTGAGTTCCAAATTTGACATTTCACATGATAAGGCTCGTGTCAGACTTTGAAACATTACACATCCTTTCCCTCCACAGGAATCTACTTCTGTCTGGCCATGATGTTGGTCACCTTCTCCACGGTCCTTACGGTGATCGTGCTAAACGTGCACTTTAAAGGTCAACATGGTATCGGCGTGCCTCGATGGGTGAGGAGTCTGTTTCTTGGGTCACTTGCGAGGTTCCTTTGTGTCAAGAAAGAAATGACTGTCCATCCAATCAAGATAGCGGTCAATGGTGACCTTGACCTTTTCCTCGAAAGTCATACGGTAAGGAAAAGGGTCAGAGATCAATGTCAATCAGATACGATTTGTAGGGAGTGTAAACAGACATATTTTATTCATAAATGTATCTTCTTTCATTACAGAGAAAATACCTTCAAAGCTTATGTTGCGAGGACCAGGTAAAATGCTAACATTATCACTGGACCTTGGTCTAATTCTTATTCCACATTATCAGCATTTATCTAGCATTTAGATCCTTATTTCACGGATTCCCAATTTACTCAAGATATTTCTTGGTTGCGGTATTTTTAGAACGTTTTTTTAGCTTCAAGATGTTGCGTAGTGAAGTGAACCTAAAATGGCAGCATAAACAATGCGCGATTGCTCGCTTTCGTAGTCCTTGCCATTAACGTCAGGAGATATACTCCTTTAAACCCCATATAGTGCACCTTACAAATAGATACCTACTTCACGTCACTTCAATATTTGTATTTTTTCTAGTATTGTTAGTTCCTAAAATTGTTCTGTCAGTCTGATGCAAATTAGCTGAGTTTGAATACATCTGAGTTCTAACAACACGCTTCATGCTACAATTCCTCTGTTAGAATCCCTTGTATGTAGATGCCCCGAAATGTAGATGCCCCTTTGGTCATGATGTGATGACGTTGGGTTCTCTCGACTCCGATATACCCTTTGAACCACTCATAGTGGGAACACAAATAATGGTCTTCGGACATATTTCCATTTAGGGAGAATCGAACCTGTATGGGTTTTACATACTTGGCCACCATCTGCCTTGTACTGCCCTGTTGTGCGCAGGAAGTGCTGAACACGCATGACCTGTGTCAATGTGGGCTTTCTTCTTGCATCAGACTAGCATCCTCTTTTCTATCACAACAGCCGACTTAATCCTCATATCTGATGCCAACATTTTACTCTTCAGGGGAACTTCATTTTTAATTTACAAATTAAAAAACATTGGGAGATATATCGGAGTCAGTCAATGTTGATATGATAATAATGAATGTTTTGAGAGTGCATCACAACTTGCTCTTCCTTATGACCATAGTTGTTTGTACAGTAATCGCTCTTGAAAGATGATTGGTGTATGACTTGCATGTGTACAAAAAAACCGGCTCAAAATCAATGGTCTACAGTTATCTATCGACCTTTTCGAAAACCGTCAAAATCAGGAATGATACCCCATGAACGTGTATGGAGCTACTGCGTTGCGCACGTGCACCCCATGTATTGTGTTTAGGGATGGTGATAAAGAGAATTGGTGGTGCGTTCAAAGGATGTCTGACCTTGAAAAGTTTGTTAACGCTTATACTTCCTATCTAAATTGAAAGTTCAGATTCCCCTACTTTTTTAAAGACTATATTACCTCCGTTGTATCAGACTATTGGATACCATACCTTGCAGACATTGAGAAAACAATATTTCATAAATATATTCAATTCGTGTTGTATAAGAACAATACGTACTTCTTCATTTGATATAATTCAGGCAATTGCTGTGATATGTTGCCTCTATTGGGCACACCTGAGACATGTCATCTTGAGCTTTCTATCACCGGTTCGCCCTTGATGATGTTTGATGGCACCCATAATGGTAAACAACTGGGTCCTGTATCACATTGCAATAAACTCCATCGTCGTGATATATCTGCAATAGGGTTCAAAGTGGTGTTACACCCACCTCACTCACGTAATCTGGGTTATGTTTCTCCGATTCATTTCAGGATGATTTGAACAAGACAAATCAGAACGGAGTGAAGCATATCGACTCTCGAGGCACTGAGGTTCAAGACCTCCAGCAGTCGTCTCCCTTGAAAAAGGTCATGAAGGAACAACTTGCTGTCCTGAAGAAGATCAACAGCCGGTACGCCGAGAAGCATAAAATTGAAACTATTGGCGAGGAGTGGAAGAAAGTTGCAATCGTGATGGACAGATTGTTCCTGGTCATATTTTTCCTTCTGTCTATCATTTGTACCCTGGGGATTTTGCTAATGTGTGTTAACAATGGGTGAAACGGTTTAGTGGTCGGCAGGACATATCGCAAACAATTATGTCTGTAATATTCATGAAGAGTGCTGGTGATGTCTGATCGGGAATGAGTGGGATGTTACACCAGATAAGACACACCTTTGACAACACTGATATTCCAAGACGACTGTGCATTCACTAAGTAATAATAATAATAATAATAATAGTCCATTTATATTGCGCGTTTATCCATGCACATTGCATGCTCAAAGCGCTGACATATTACCCCTGGTCAACGAGTACAGAACACTCCATGTGGAGAATACAACCGGTCGCCTGTCAGGCGCTCAAGGTTCAAATTCAGACTACCATCGTATCATACCAGGTACCCAATTTTATTGCTGGGTTCAATTTTGAACAAACTCACTTGCCTAAGGTGAGACCACATGCGTCAAATGCGCTTCGTTGTGGGGCAGGACTGAAGTCCTAGAAACTTTCAGGAGTCAAGCTGCCAAACACGGTCACCCATCCGAGGACTGTCCACGACCAACGTTGCTTAACTTCAACTGATTGTGACCTGAGCTCTACGCACAGGACCACACACCGCCACTCAACAGTACACTCAACAGCCATCGTGGGTCGATCGCATAAAGGCTCTCTCATCTGCTACATCAGCATCTTCAGATTGATTATCACATATACCTGTGCATATCAAAATTAGTTTGTATAACACAGATGGTATATTCTTCAGAAGTATCTTGACAATCTATTACTGGTTGAAAACGAGAATCGGGACCTGCAGTGGACGAGAGGACTGCGTGCCAATGGTACGGTAAGCACAATGGCTGGACACTTGGGATTTACTTTGAACCGGAAACTGTAGCCTTCAAGTGTCATGTGTTCTGGAGCTTGAAACTAAATTAGAGTTTGTTGAAGGGTTTTGTGAAGAGGAACTTGGAATCAGTATCCGATAAATACTAAATATTTCATAACTAGTGCCACTGATGTTCCCAACCCGTGTAATGCATGGCGAAACGTTTTTATTTAGCATGTTGTCATCAATGGGAAAGAAAAGATATACACAATGGTGGCTGTAAATGAAATGAGTCCAAAAAGGTTTTTCGATAGTGATGTGATCGATACGGGTATTTTAATTCTAGACGTCATTGCATTGTCTTCAGCCTCATAACTTTTGTATTATCTTTTTTGTTTGTTTGTGGTTGTTTTGAGGAGGGTGGGGGAAGGGGAGGGGAGGTTGTAGTTTTTTGTCAAATCTAATTGCGAAGACTCGTGCTCACTTTCTACAGCCCGGCAGTTGTTCTGACAGAAATAATGTGCCCTGTGATATTTGTATATGTCAGCCACGGGGGATGTTATGCGTGATAAAGGTCCATCAACTGGGAAGAGAGGGGCTGGAAAAGAAGGTGACATATGTATATATAGGTGTACATGTATCCCGATATTTTCATACATGCAATGTCTGATTCTGTGGATCGTATATTAAATTTATTTCATGTACTTATATGCGCACACTCGAAGAGTTCGGCAAGTAAATGTGACTGTCGACAAAGGCACTGGTACGATAAAACATATCAGTATACCAGTCACTTAACAAGAAAAGGGATTCTGTTTGCCAAATGATGTTCAAAGCGATGGTAGTGCATTGTACATATTGCGATATATTTATTTGCTTAAAAACGTTTTAACCAAGATGGACATTTGGATGTACTTTTCCGTCGAACCAAAATAGGAAGTTGTTTTGTTTTACGCCGTCTGTCTGAAATCTTTGATGACGAGTCAGTTTTGTATGTTCTGTATGAAACGACAAGCCTTTTGGCATTGACCATATTTATTTAGATATATCGGAGTGTCTGTTAGTCAAATATGTATTTACAAAATAGTTGATGGTAGTTTGTGCTTATAATAAGCGTGTCCATTGATCCATGTGTCTATATATATTTGTCTACTTACTGCTGGAGATCCTTGAATGTTTATCCAATGTTTGCTATTTCGTCACTTCTATGATTGAGTATTTGATCGGTATTTAGAAGTGATACATATAAATGCAGATAGATACATAATCTGTGGATGTCAACTTCATTTTTATGAACACGTCGGTTGCCAACTTCTTTCGTTTGAGAAACACCAACTTCTTTATTTCGGGGAACACACATGGATGTCATCTTCTATTTTGAGGAACACTGAAAATTTTCTCAAACTAGTGAGGTTGACATCCATAATTCTCGCCTTTATTACTGTGATTTTTTGGCAGTTGGTTATATAACGTTTAAGAACATGTGACCGCCTGGTGCTGATACACTGTTTGTCTCGAACTATAGATAATTCGATTTACATTTCATGATCGTAGAAATTTGATTAACTAACATTGCCGTGAAACGTATCATACCCATTCGCGTACTGTGTAATTACTTACCATGTGCATGTCATTACTAAACGTTACTGCAACTGTATGTTTCTTTGTCAGTTAAGTTCTGTTTACATATCAGCTGGTATTAACGACATACGACAATGACCTGAAAAATGTGCAGTGGTGTCTTTTTGTCGACATACAGTTTCATCACATGTAATACAGTATATCTTTTGTAAATAAAAATCAAATAGAGATCTGTTCAGTTTTGTCCGAGTTATAATATGTGTCAAGTTTACAACTCCATGGTGTAGATAGAAACCGTCAGTTACTATGGTGTGTTGAGTGAGTATGGTTTTATGCCGCTTTTAACAATATTCCAATATCACGGCGGGGGCTTCACCCTTTGTACCCATGTGGGGATTCGAACCAGCGTATCGCGTGGACGCTTTCAACATTAGGCTACCCGGTGTGCTACAACCTCGAATGAAAAAATCTTACTGTACCTCATCGTCATGGCGCACGCCACCACAAGGGGGTTTTTTTTATATGAAAAGATAATACAAACTACTATTTTGATGGCCATATTGTATAATATGTACATACAGATAATTGTAATCACTTCTCACTGAAGATAAAGAAGAAACTTGTTGTAGAAACATTCGGATCGTGTTTCAGTTTTTATTTAACTGTTTTGAGTGAGTGAAGTAACAGGACTTTGTTTGCAGACCTATGACTGCTGAATACGGCGTCAAACAAACATTTACTCATGATGAAGTCAACATTTTACAATTGACTGTGCTTTTAGCAGAGATTTCTTACGAAAGTGGAAAGGATTCTGTCGTTTCTATTTACGCTGGATTGAAAGTAGTAGATGTGAAACTCGACAAACCACTGAACGTTCCGTTGATTGTGTAAGTAACAATCAACAGCATACGAGCAACGTGTGTTTAAACGGTTCAATACAATGCAAGCCCAATAACTATCATAATCAGATAAATTACAACATGGAACGAAGGAAGGAAAAGCAACGGATTATCCATTGATGTTCTTCTTCGTGAAGGTCCGGGTTAGAATATAGATCTTCAGTAACCCATGATTGTCGTGAGAGGTGAGTAACGGGATCGGGTGGTCAGGCTCGCTGACTTGGTTGACACATGTCATCGGTTCCCAATTGCGCAGGTCGATGCTCATGATGTTGATCACTGAATTGTCTGGTCCAGACTCGATTATTTACAGACCGCGGCCATATACTGTAATATTGCTGAGTGCGGCGTAAAACTAAACTCACTCACTCACTTCTTTTGAGTAGTACAGGTGATTTTTTTTATTCTTCACAAAGTCGATGAAACCTAAAACTTACACTGTTACGGAATTTTGAAAATACATGAAAACATAAGTTTTGATCAAGCGTGGTGCTGTAAAATTTACTTTCAATTTATGTGGATAGATTAGCGTATGAACCATCACAGAATGAGGGTCGAATTGACTGGACATGTTTTGAAAGATTTAAATGTTTACTAGTCATCTTATCGTTAGAAGGGATTGCAATTGTCTGAGATGCTACCTTGTGCAGTTTGGTGAACATAAACCAGGGATTTCAATTCTTCAAACGAGAGCAGTCAGCGAATGTATTCAATCCGTGTAGGTTTGTGAACATCATTCCCGCACCAAACAATTACATATTCGCGGTATGCTCCATCAATACTGGAAGATAACATTGCAAACAACGCAGTCAAATCTATCAATACTTGCAGAAAGGTTTGCAAACAACACAGTTAATTCTGTGGAAAAACACTTGTGGAAAGGTTTGCAAACGATCTGCTAATTACCAACCAAATTGTAATTATATACGCAGGTTCAGGGGTCCATGTCCACTCCACTGTCTCCTTATGGATGTAAAATCTCCTATTAATACACATATAATATTATAATCCAGAGCGCAAATATTTGAATGAACAATCTATAATGCGCACTATCAAAATTAACAAAAGCGTTAAAGGTCACGTGTTTTCACAGAATTACTCTCGTAAAATACATATCGGCCGAAGCTGAGGTAGCAGAAATTGTTTTCGCGATTACAATATAATAACACTTTTGCATTAAAACTTGGGGTACGTGTTTCTGATGACGCTATCTCTAATCCAGTGAGTTATTACATCTTTCCATTATTCTCCTTTAACTGTTTTCATGAAACCATGTTTTGAAATGACGCCACCCAAGATCACCAACAGCTGTTTTATTAGTAGTCTTGGTGATTATCTCTCATTCTAACAAAACAAACCAAAACGTCACAGAAGCAATAATTGTATTCCCAAATACGTCCCTACATTGCAAACTTCCGGTGGCTGGTTTAAAGGACATTTGGCTCAAATTCATAATGTCAGTTCAAGGTTAAGGTTCGCATGGCAAGCAAAACATTAATTGTCAACGTCAGTGTGAGTGAATGGGTGAGTGAGTAAAGACTTACGTCACTTAGTTCCACCAATAGCACGGCGTGTGACCCCACAAATGGGCTTTTCACGATCAATGTCTAAAAAAAACAAGTTCCGGTAATCCAGGAAAGGATTTCAGTGGGAGTAAATGTCCAAATTGGGATCCAAATGTTTGAATGGACCCTTGAATACCAGTGATCACACCAGGAGGTGTTCGCTAAAAGGGTGGGCATGTTTTGCTCAATCAGTAACATCCGTCAAACTCACAGTTTGCATGAAACAAATGTTTGTTTTGTTGTCACAGAAATACCGTGGCCGTTACTGTGACCTTTCAACAGACCAGACAGGAAACTCCAGTCATATGATAGTGCGTACACTGCTGACATTGACTATTTC